AAAAGATAGAGAAAAGAGAAAAGAGCGTGAAAAAGAAAGAATATTTTTTAAAGATATGATGGCACGTAAAGATCAAATGATAGTATGTAAAATTAAATACTAGTGTTTTTAATTTATTTTAATATATTTTTTTAATAATTGTCTGGAATGATAATGAGTCTTTTGATTTCCAAATTCGTAAAATACGAATTAAGAAGTTCATTGTCTCAATGAATTTCTATTTTCGTAAAATTTTAATTTGGAAAATTAATAATTGAAATTGCGAAAAATTTATGAATTTTGAAAGGAAAAACGAAGAAATTTGTGAAAAAAATATACATTTTTCTTGAAAAAATATTATAAATAATATTCTTCAAAGTTCTTTCTTTAATTTTAAAAATGTCTTTTTCATTTTTATCATCTCTTTCTCAAAATCGTGTTAATTTTGTCACTTATGATTTTAATCGTCAAGGTTTTGATCAATTAATTCAAACGTATTTTGAAAATGAAATAACTTGTCCTTTTACTTATATTGTTTATCAATATGAACGAAATTATAATGTTTCTCAAGAACGAGATTGTTATATACAAGGATTTTTACGTCTAAAGATAAAAACTAGATTTGGTCATTATAAACTGTCAACTGATGAAAAACAGAATAAAATAAATGGTATAAAAGGTTTTCTAAAGATTGACAAAATACATTTTGAACCAGTTGGGAGTGAGCCTGATTCTATACGCTATTGTAAAAAAACTTATAATAAATGTTCTATTCATAATCGAAAAGAAGTTGAGCATGAAGTAGAACGTTTTTCCAAATATGAATTCATTAGAAACACAATCTCAACTTCCAATAAAAAATGAGTAACAAATTGTCAATGCAGCTATAAAGATTTAAATGATTTTTCAGAATGTAAATGGTGCACTTTGAAATGTTGTTCTCAACGTATATTGGCTAGATATGATAAAAATTCGGGACCATATGAATATTCGATTCAAGAAAATAAAAGAAATAAGACAGAAAAAAATCAATTTCAAGAACAACTATTAAAAGATGCTCAAGAATATATGGATGATATTCTTGTAAAAAAAATGTCAAAAGAAGAAGCGATTGTTAAATATGCTGAGAAAAATCCACAGTGGATCACTCAGAATCCAAATAATATTGCTATCATTTGTGATGCTCATGATAAGCTACTTCAAAAAAAGAAAGATTCTATTGAACGCTGTTGGTGTCCAGTAGTTTTTTATATTTATGGTCCTGGTAGCTCTGGAAAGACTGGACTTATTAGTGAATTGTTTGATGGTGAATATTTTGAAAAACACAAAAAGCAACGTAGTGGATCAAATTATTGGAATGGGTATGATGGACAAGAGATAGTTTTTTTGATGAATTTTATACTAAAATTGATTGGTCAGATATGGCAAATGTGTTAAATGATACAACATGTTCTGTAGAAATTAAATATGAAACATTTAGTGCATCGTTTAAAGCGAAATATGTGTTTATGACCAGTACAAAACCGCCAGAAGAAGTGTATAATTTTGGTCAACATATTGGGGAGGATGATAATAAATGTGATTTTGGTCAATTTTATCGTCATCTTGATTTCATTATCGAATTTGATGGAAAATGAGATGATAATATCGATAATCGTATAACGCAACTTATTTTTCACAAGGGTTCTGAATCTGATTTTTGAAATATGAATTGGTTGGTAAAATTTCGTAGACATGCTTTAACAGACGAAGAATTACGAAAGAAAATTCTATTATTATCTAATGGGTTTCCTGGTGTAATTTATGAAAAAGATGAGCAGATGTATTGGAATCGGCAATTTTCCAAATTTAAGAAAAAATATTTGCTCGATTATCCTAAATCTAAACGACTTGATAAATATCGTTTAGAATGTGAACAAGAATCTTTACAAAGTTTTCAAAATGAATCCAATCTGCAAATAGGTTCATCTACCAATCAAATTTTAGAACCCGAAATAGAAATTTTATCAGAAGATCCTCAAACATCTGATGTTGATTCTGAGGATAGTAATTATTCTCAAAAACAACAAAAAATCAATCGAAATAAGAAAAATAAAATTGAAACTTTGCGTTTTTCTGATTAGAATTAAATATTTTTATTTGTAAATATGTTATAAAAAGTATAAATAAACTTGATTGGGATTAAATATATTTTATTTATAAATAACAAAATAAATAATACATAAAATGTGAATTTGTCGAATCTTTAATAATAATTCATCGAATAAAAAAAGTTAAAATTATCAAAATATTCTTGTGAAAAAGTGTTATCTGAAGTCGAATTGATAAAATTAAAATCAATATCGCTATTAAAATATGTTGTAAAATTTTCTTTTGATACTTCATCATTTTCTTTCCTTTCAAAAATAAAATTTTCTTCTTTATTTTCATATTCATAAATTTCTTCAGAGTTTTCATTATCATCATCAATTTCATCCTCAGAAATTTCATCGGAGTTTTCATTACCATCATCAATTTCATCCTCAGAAATTTCTTCAGAGTTTTCATTACCGTCATCAATTTCATCCGAATCTTCTTCTGAAATTTTGATTATTCCATTTGTAAAATCGTTAATGAATTCAATCTTTTCGATGATTGGTTTATTTTGAATAGATTTTTTAAAATTATATTCTTCTTCTTTAAGTGTGTGGAAACCATGGTTTTCGGTAATCATGTCTTCATACCATAAGGCCCATGATTTGATTTCTTTTTTTTTCTCGTTTTTCGTTTTTTAAGTTTTCTTTTAATTCTTTAATTTTTTTTTCAAGTTTGTAAATTTTTTCTTTCATTTCTTTTTTTTTCGAATATTCTCCTGGATATTTTTCTCTTCCATTTTCTCGTTTCAGATAAAATTTAGTAGCTTGTTTAGGCATTATAAAGATATTTGCAACTGATAAAATATGCAATAAATATCTGATTTTGTTGTTTTTTATAAAAATTAATTCGTACTACTTTCTATATATATTTTATTTTATTTAATTGGTGCGTAGTTATTTTTTTTTAATTTTAAATTCTTTTTTTCTAAATTTAATTCTTAGATTAGAGTTTTTCCGAAATTAATTTTTAAATAAAATTCTAATTTCTTTCGTACTACTTTCTATATATATTTATTTTTATTTAATTGGTATTCAGTTATTTCTTTTAATTCTAAATTCTATTTTTCTAAATTTAATTCTTAAATTAGAGTTTTTCTGAATTAATTTTAAATTCTAAATTCTTTTGTACTATTTTCCATATATATTTTATTTTAATTGGTGCATGGTCATTTCTTTTAATTCTAAATTTTATTTTTTTAAATTTAATTCTTAGAGTTTTTTCGAAATTATTTTTTAAATAAAATTCTAAATTCTATATAAATTTAAGTTTTTCCGGTAGGAATTTAACAATATAAAATGTTAAAATTTTATTTATTTATTTTTTTTTTAATTAAAAAATGAAATTAAAATATCACATTACAACCGCATGTAATTGGTGTCGAATTAAGAAAATTCGATGTGACAGATTTAAACCGTGTTTTCAATGTGAAAAACGAAATATATTGTGTGAATATGAAGAATATCGTAAAAAACGTGGTCCACAACCTAAGAATAAATCCACGAAAAAAATTATTAATAAAAAAACAAATCTTGATTTTATTTTAAACTTATAAATTTTTAAAAGGTTAATTGTTCATATTCATATGTATTTAATCTTTTCTTAAAGAAATGTTTCATTTTTTCTTGAATTTTAATTAAAAGTTTTTTTGTATCAAAATAAAATATAAAAAGAAGGAATGAATTAAAATAAAGTAAAAAAAATGGAAAAACTTAATATTGATATTTTATTATACATATTTGAAATATTGACACCAAGACAAAGGGAAAAAATTAAAACAACTTGTCAAAAATTTCGCGATGTTTATATTAGAAGTTTGAGAACGAGGAGAGATATTAATCCTAAACGACATATTTTCTTCCGATTACATAAAAAAGATCAAAAATTAAATCAAGATTTGTTATTTTACGAAATTGATCGTGTTCAAAATGGTTTTGTTTATTTTAAAGGTAAAAGAACAAACGCAACACAAAAATGTAAAATAATTTTGGTATTCCATATTGTAAATTACAAAATAATTTTGTTTACATTTACGAAAAAAAATTTAAAGATGAGATACTAAAAGATTTTTGTGAAAGATGTAATAAGGTAGATTTTTCGTTTGAATGTAGTACAATGATTTCGTATTGTAAAATTATAAATTGTAAACAAAAACCATTTTGCTTTGAAGATCCGTTTAATTTTACTAATTTGGATATAAAAAATACTTATTGTCAGCATATTTTTTGTTCAAAATGTTCGTTCAAACTTAATTTTACATATTCAAAAAATACTTTTTTTAATTCTATAACAAAAATATTTATTATCAAGTCAGATTTTAAAAATATTGATTTCACCACATAATATTTAAAATATAAAAAAAAATGAAAACAAATTTTGATTAAAAAGTTAATTGTTCGTATTCGTATGTATTTAATCTATTCATTAAATGATAAACTAAAGAATAAGTTTTAAATTTTTCTTGGATTTGAATTAATTTTGAAAAGGCATTGTCGTAAAAGTAATTGATACTGTCATCATTTTGTTCTTTTAAAGTGAAAATATTATCTCCGTTTTTACAGATAAGAAAATCAGCACGATCATTTTTATGAAAATCATTTCGCTTGATATCTACCTACCAACTAAAAAATTTACATTTTCTTCTGTAACAACTTATGAAAAATCTTCCCAAATTTTCAGTTGGTTTTCTTACGTGATGTAATCTTGCTCTTTCATTGCAGTTACATACAATACTGTGGGGAGAAAGTACTGTTTCAAAATCATTATAATAAAGGCAAAAAATATTTTTTTCTGTCTTTTTATATCTTTTGTATTTGTTAAAGAAAAAATAATATTCTTTTAAATATTCAAGTATAGGAAACACACTTTGATAACAACAATTATTAATTAAAAAAAATGATTCGATGTTGGTACATCTTTTCATGATTATTAAGTTTAATTCTGGTATGTCAAAAACTTTTTTTGCTGCCATTTTTGGTTAAAATTTTAAATCGAATTGTTTAAATATATATTTTTTAATTTAATCTGAATTCATTAAAAAATAAATTTGCTTACTTAATCTAATTAATCTATGCCAAATTCGGATTTTTACGAAATAAGAAGTTCATTGAGACAATGAACTTCTTATTTCATATTTTATGGATTTGGAACGACAATGAGTCTTTTGATTTCTATTTTCGTAAAATTCGAATCTGGAAATAATTAATAATTCATGAACTTCTTATTTCGTAAAATCCGAAACTGGAAAAAATTAATAATTCTTTTACAAATTTGGAAAAAATTAATTATTTTAACCATTTCATCTTGCAGAAAAAACTTAGAAAAAAATTGACACAGACCGTTTCTCAGCTATAAAAGCTGAGCTTTTCACCTCATGAATATAGCATCGAATCTCAGGATTTGATAACGAATACAAAAGTTCTTCGAACTGTATTCAGAAATAATAATTTAAATTATTTAATAATAATTAATAAATTATTATTTCAAAATATCTATTACGAGAGATGTATGAACAAATTTCTCGAAATATTCTCTATTACGATGGAAAGTATTTCATGAATCGTTTGTGACTCATAATAGCATTTTTTAGCGAAATATCGATTTTTCACGATCATATGTTATTAAATATGATAAATATAATTCGAAAAAAAAATTTGATATGCTGCAACATTCTTCACATATTCCTTTTAACGAATTTTTTATTTGTAAATGTGGATCAGATAAAATGAATTGGCAAAAAGAAGCGTATCGACGAGAGTTTCAACCTCATCTATGGTATTATGATAAACGTCATCAGAGATTTTCTTGTCCATTTCGACGCAGATGTGATTATTTTAAGCTTCTTCAATCTGTCAACAAATCTCTTCCAAAGAACGAACGTTTAATCAACATGAATAAGAAAGGTTCTTTGATGAAAATTAAAAAGATATTTCGCACTATAAAATTAGATTACGATATATATCTTTGGGTTAAAAATCTTAATGACACGACATCCTCCATTTATAAACAGGAGAGTGAATTACTTCAAAATTTCAAGAAATCTATCTTTAAACGAGCAAAAAAAAAGAAAATAAATATATCCGAAATTAAACCGATTGTCGAATCGCGTTTAACAGTTCTTAATCGATCTCTAGAATATCATCCCCAATCTCCAAATTTCTGTTCAGTATAAATATACCAGACAGAAAATTTTCTATTCATCTTTTTTTTTGTTTATTACAACTAAAAAAATGGATTCTCAATTAGCTTATCATTTTAATCTATTAATCTCTGCCGTTATCAATTTTCTTATTTCAATTAATAATATATATTTTCAACATCTTCTCCAAATTTACTCGATATTGATATTGAACAACCTCCGAATTATACATCAAGACACGAATCTATTAATGATTTTCTTGAAAAGAATCGAAATATAAATAAATATGAATTTTTCTTAAAAGCGAATGATATCGATCGTGTTAATACGAAACACCAATACGTCTACGGTCTTAATGGTGGATCTTGTTGGAATTGTTACAATTCTTATTCGCATAAATGTTGTGCGGCATGTAAAAAATATCTTCACAATGCCAATATGTTTATATATGTGGATACACATTTCCTACTGGTCAACAAAATAAGAATGGTACACCTACTCAATTCAAAAAATGTAAATTCTATACATCAGATATTAATAATATTGAACATGAATGTTTGGGTGTTGTAGATAATGATGAATTTGTGACGTTATTTAAAAATGAACAAGATGTTCAAAATTTTTCTGTTAAATGTTGTTAATTTTCTATTCTATATTATTATTATTATTTTTTTAATATATAATAAATAAATATATATCCGATTAGTGCTATTTGCACCAATCGGAAAAATAAATCCGTAAATGTCTTCTTTATGCTTACGCGTTTTGGTGAATGATTACGATTTTGTATTCATAAAAAATTCTAATAATTTTGTATTAGCCCAAAAGTTTAAAGAAAAATATTATATTCATTTACGAAAAATTTTGAGTCATTATAATTCAAAAAATCAAAATATTATTTTGACTATTTTGACACGAATAGATTCTGTGGAAAAAATTCAACTTTTGTTCTATTTTTCTACTTTATTATATCAAAAGCATATTTTACCAACAATTTATGAAATTCCTGAATAAATATATATTTTTCTAATCCGTTAAACAAATGACCGATTAGTTTATTATTTATTCAATAATGATGACATTCAATATTGCTATTGACGGTTTGACCGCCTCTGAAAAAACTTCTATTGGCTATTCTTTAGCAAAACGATTAAATTTTAATTTTATCGATTCTGGTTTATTTTATCGTTATTTAGCTTACTTCTACAAATTTTAATCAACATACTTACGATACTCTAATTAACTGTTCCAACTCAAGTACATTTTCTTCACTCAATATTTCTCAAAAGGCATCTAAATTTTCAAAAGATGAAGAAATACGATCGTTAATTAATCAAGAAATCAAGAAATTAACGAAAGAAAAAGGATTTGTTGTAGTTGGACGAGACGTGTCAACCAATATTCTTCCTAATGCTGAATTTAAAATTTTGTTATCAGCTGATTTTGAGATGCATCTTGGTCGACGTGTGAACCAATTAGATGAAGAAAATCCTCAAAATATTTTATATGATATTATCACACGTGATATTGTTTCTAAACCTCTAATCAATTGTTCAAAAAAAGTTTCAAAAGAAATTAACATGTCGGATCTTGAAACTTTTGAAGTCATAGAAAAAATTTTACAAATAATCAAAAAGAAAAATTCTTTAAAAAGATATTTAAAATTTTTTTTCGTTTTCATGTTATTTTTATTATCATTTTTATTAAACCAATATTCTGATTAGTGCTTTTGCA